CTCACCAGCAAAATGTATTAAGCTGAAACATGACTTCTAATTACTGCTCCCTTCCAAGGCAATATCACACCCCACAACTTGTACACTGAAACAACACAAACAGGTAGCCATGCGAAAGAGTGGTTAATAGATTTACTGCATTGCCCTGTCTCACAGAACCTGGAACATGCCGTCCAGCTGAAGAAAAATAACCATAAAATTCATGCAAAGACATCCGATCTGGTAATATATAAAAGACAATCTTAAGTGTTTTCTGTTGAAGACAGAAGATGTGCAGAAATAGATAATGTTGAATGTTCATTTGTTATGGAAGGGAACTTGAATTTGCAACCACAGGCAGAAATAGATAATATTAACCGTTCATTGGCTTCTTTGTCTGGTGGAAATTCTCCTGAAACCAAAACTAGTCCCATTCCAAACCATGAAATAGATAATGGACAGTCAACGTATGTCAATGTTTTCTAGCCCAAGGCATCGACCTTATGCTATATATATATAAAGAACAAACTTTAGAATGTTTTCATTCAACTTCACACAATAATAAAAAATGCAGACCTGAGACATAACCATATGCTTATTGTTTACTGTTCTGGCATGAAAAAGTCATATCAAGTAAATCCATTGCATCCAATTCTATTAGAACCAAACTCTTTAATTAAAAAGAGGATTTATTGCTAAATAGATACCTAAAGAGATATTCAAATCTTTTAATTCAAAACCACAAATAAGTAGAGTTTGGATGATAGGAGAAAATTCCAAACATGGAACTGAAATTTCAGCAGTTATATTTTCTCAATCTCTCAAGATCAACCAATAAAAAAAATTTCAGCAGTTATCTTTTCTCAATCTCTCAAAATCTTTCTATAGAAAAGAAATTCAGAACAAACTAAAACAATTCCCACGGAACCCTTATCAGGATCGAAATTAATTTAACATATATGCTATCTTTTCATTTACCAAATAAATACATGATAAGGACTTTGCACTTCCATAATCCTGCAGAAAGATAATAATAGACTATCTTTTATGATTTTGAAACTAAAAAAAGAAAAGAAACAACATGCATTGGAATCAAAACAAAAGCATTCGATCAAGAAAGATCTCATAGAGATCATCACAAGAAAGATTTGGTGTATAAGCATATACCTCGGATGAGTTTTTACATTGATCGGATGTAACAAATATTGCTACAGCGAGGAAGAAATGGTTGCGGAAGTTCTCCAGAATGAGGAAGACGGGGTATATAACTGTAAGGGTATTGACGTATTTCTTAACTTCCGAACAGCGGAAAGCAGGCGAAAGCAAGGATGTTCCTTCGGACGGGAAAAGTAACGCGGGACGCAGAAATTTTAAAAACGGAGCATCACCGCTTGACCCCAAACGACCTCTCGGTTAAATTCGATGACGCACAGCAGGGAAAAATCCGTCCCAAACGAAGCCTAAATAAACAGCAATAAGCACGGCGTGTTAATGATATACGGCCCTGTGAAAAATAATAATTATATAATTTTTGGAAATATTAA